AGTTGCGAAAGCACAATACCTGCGCGCACATATTTTTCGCGAATACACACGCGTACGCAAGTCTAGGTTTAATTGAAAGTACACACAGGGCGAAATAATACCTAGCCACCCTCATTGAGTGTGTATACCCATGTACGCGTGGGGAGGGAGTGCTCTAACGTCATAGGAGAAAGAGATAGAGAGCGAGAGAGAGAGAGGAGCCAAGCTTTGGGCATATTTATGTGTGCGTGTTCGTTCGAACGTAAGTATGATGAGAAAGGGATGAGGGATGAGGAGGCACAGAGCTACGACTAGCTAGCTAGCTAACTCCACCGCTGGTTGGTAGGGGGTGGGGGGAGGTGGAGAGTAGTCGCGAGCATATAAGTAAAGTTTGTTCGCAACTTATAATAGGGACGCCTCCATCGCGAGAGGGATGAGGCGCAAGGTTTGAGGTTAGGCTGCTGCCTGTGCCTCCCCACCCCCCCTCTCACCCCCAACCGAGCTTTTCCCTCGTCGCTCCTTCACTCGGTGGCTCTTGCACAGACGAACTTTCACACGATAATAGACCGTGTGCAGGTGCAATCTACGACGGTAGCAAATTGCAAAGAGAACTCGCTCGCGGGGGGGCTACGCGTGTGTAGGATGTGCCTCTGTGCCTCTCTTTCTCTCGCGAGCTTTCTCTCTTTGGTGAGCTATCCATCGCCTACGCTGGCTGCCATCGATTCGCAGCTCTACGAGGGTGGGATAAATTTTTTTTAAATTTTTTTATTTCATTTTTTTTTTTTTTTTTCATTTTACTGCCTTTGTATGCGGACTGCGGAATGGTGCAAGTGACTTTAAACTGTTTATTCATCGTGTAGCTCAGAAATTTTTCTATATATTTTCTGAATAATCAAACGTGAAAGTAATAGTTATTTGTATTACTATTAAAAAAAAAAAACTTAGCTTCGTTCATCACCGATTTTTTATCGGTTGTAGCTAGTATTAAGAGATTGTGCCTGAATAGAGGATAGACAGCGTAGAGGTACAATTTGACGTTCCTCGAAGCATCGCTGTAGTGACAAAAACACGGGCCGTATCAGTCTACCAAGCGCAGCGCGAGAAAGTAACTAGACCGTTGCGTCCGGATTTTTCGCTCACTTACCCTACCTCTTTATTTTTCTCGCTCTCGGTGTACCCCCCGAAGCGCCCGGTCGATGCTACCCCCGGCTTCCTGCGCCCCGCGTCAGATGTCGCTGCTCCGTTTCTTCCCCGTATTTTCTCTCCGGCCGCGAAAAAGACTCGTCGAATTCACCGATCCGACGACAGATGACGCAATCGCGCGCCGAAAAACCTGCCTCTCAAAGGACTAGGGGAGGGCCTGTTTTTTGCTCCGCCAACCCCGTGCGCTTTGACCGGTGTCTGTTTCATGGGCTATTCTCGGTCTACTGTTGCCCGCATGGCTTTTTTCTGTGGTGCAGGTTATATAGGCTTCACCCCTAGATATTTGGAGGGGGTCGGCCGGTTTTTTGCTGCCAACCCCTCGAGTTGATGACTGGTGGGGCACGATGAAAAAACGATGACGGTCGTCTGAAGTAAGAAATTTGTGGGCTCATCGTGGGCTAGTGACGGTATGTTTTTGAATAGGCAAAAAAACATGCGTTTAGATGCGCTTCAACTCCATCGATTCAGCTAAGTGGACTCTATGGTGAAACTGGCTGCTGCATGGAAAAACGACCTTGATGTACCTGCCAAATCGTTACCGATGATTGAAAGATCTCCCGTCAGTTTGATCCCACGCACTATTCGCGAAACATCAAGAAAATCCACAGTGGCTCATCTCAATGAAAATCTCGTACTTCCTCACGCGAGCATCCAAAAGAATTTTCAAAGGCAAATTGATCGCACCGTAATTATTCGCATCCCACGCGTAAGAGGAAGATAAGACCGAGTATATAATAAAATTCGGGGTATATAGTTGCCGAGGATCCCCCGAATTCTTGGCCACCCTCGCATTATTAAAATCCAGATTGAAGACGAAACAGCGATCACCATCCCGTTCGCCCCGAAAATTTTAGCTTCCAGGCACGGGAACAGGGGATGAAGAAGACGCAGCAGCTCATGGCCAACCCTCTGGACGCCGCGCAACTTCTTTTCCGTCAATTTACAAACGCAACTCGGCTAACTGGCAAAAGATCATGGGCTAGCTCGTCGGATGGAAAGGGTCCCTTCATGGGTAAATAATTAAGCGCGGCGTGTCTTGCTTTGATGTTGATGATTCGATGCCAATTTTCTTTTGCTACAAATATTCCGGAAAAATATTCATTTGCATGAAAAAAAAAAAAAATTAAAAAAATAGAGCTGCAATGGGGCGAGTTTATCTTGATAAAAGAAAAAACAAAAAACGTAGCAGCTCGGGTCAGAGCAGGGAAGAAGGAGAAAGGAGGTTGGCCGTTCTTAATCAACAATGCCTTGATACTAGCATTTACATTTCATCTAGATCCAGCTGGCTCTTGCTCCTTAGCGTTATAGCGATAGTAGTACCATAGCGGCAACGATTTTTGCTTGGGTTGCTCGCTCGCTCTCTTATTCTTCTTGGCTCCTTTTCTCTTTTTCCGGCTACTTCTGCCGTACTCCCTTTCTCAGCACAATAGCGCCCGAATATCCATCTCGGACACGGACCTTACACAGGTATCTACCCCACTACCACCAACACAACCTCCTCCCCCTCCTCGTGACTTCCCTTCTTTTTCTTCGTATCTCGGTAGAACAGCAGCAGTGCTATAGCCCAGCCCAGTGTCGGGGAATAATTTCATTTTCTTGCCCGAGTACAATTTTGCTTTCAATTTATTTTCTCCCCTTTTTCCTTCCTCGCGAGCGAACGAACGACTTCTCTTCTCCCCCAACCCCCTCTTATTCTTTCTCGGTGCGTGAGCCGCTTCTTTCCCTCTTTCGCTTCTTCGTCTTCTTCTTTGCTCTCTGGACTCGAAGCCGATCCCCATTCCACCCCCCCTCCTCTATATCTTTCTTTTCCCGGAGAGCCAGACTTTCGTTCTTCTGCCTCGCTCCCCCAGCTTTTTCTTTCGCCCTTGCACAGCAGCCTTTATCTGGCGCGAGGCGAGGCTCCGTCCGTTCATTATGTCCCAGCTCCCCCTTTTATTTCCCTCCCCTGCGCCTCTCCCTACTTCTGCTCCCCCACGGGTTTCGCGGGGCTTTCCTTCGACTGTCCTTTTTTTACCTCCTTACCTCGGCTGTTCTTTTCTTTGGATGCTCGGCAGCGGCTCCCAAACAGTTTTCAATGAAAATCGGTGCTCGCGAAAAACAGCATTCGATTATACGGCGAATAAAAAGTTTATGATATATATATACATACTGGGTAAGCAGAACAAAATGCAACGGAATTGTCGGTTCCAGTTTGCAAAAGTTGAAAGAACTGTTGTTTCGGAGGCCCCATCCCCTCACCCCCCGCGGAACCCGCGATTTCAAAACTTTGATCGGAACTTTTATTTCACGTTGGACGCAAGAGAAAGAGTCCGCGCAAATATGGTAACAAACTTTCTTCTGATGCTCCTTTCATTCTTTCGGCTCGAACGTATACGCACACAGTTTGCTTCGCTAGTATTTTGTACACCACCAGTAAAAGACACGGTAAGTGTATCTGTCGGTGGGTTAGTTTTACATGATCCAGTTCGTTTGTATACCTGTATGAAATACTTTAATGAACTAAAAAATAAATCGTTATGACATGGAAAGTAATAATATCCTTTTGAATACGATTAGAAAAGAAAAATTACGGTTTTAGTAGTAGCAAACAATTAGTAACTGTAATATTATTTTGCTCACGTGTCTTACCAAAAATACTAGTACCATGTATTATTTAGTCATGATTTATTTTTAATAAAAAATGTGTACGAAATCCAGCAAAATTAAATGTTTTTTATACCTTATCGTCGATAATCGGTGTCTACATCAGTCCGTGGTTTCAATTTTACAAATGCAACCACTGGCATTCGGACACTTGATAGAGTATAACGAACCGATCATATTATTTTCACACGCAGCTTAATGTACAGTCATACATGTATATTAATTCTATTACTCAAAAATCTCTTGAAACACAATAGGTACTTTTATATAATATTGGTAATGACTTTGGTGTAAGTGTCACTTATTCTTGATATTTATTTATATTATTCATTCAAGTCTTCATTTGCAGCCACTCTTTATTTTTGTCTCTCTTTAACTTGTGTTTTTATAACTAATAATACTAGAAATCAGCAATACTTGTACTATAACTTACTTGCTGCGTTACATCATCAAAATTTTCCCTTTTTCCCCAAATTTCACGATTATCCTGCCAAATTTTGAGTACGTTTTTTTTCCAAAAACTCGTAGGGCTTATTATGATTCCCCTTTTGCTTTCCATTAATTTTTTTGAAATAAAAAACACAGCCCTCTAAATCTTGGTTTCATCAGTTTCATTGTCCTTCTCTTCTTTTCGTGTTATTATTGCTCCCTGCATTCATTTTGAAACGTCTATTAGTCATGTTAAGTTTTCAATGAAAAATAACATAACTTTAGAATAAGCGTCTTCTGTTACTCACGTTTATCTTTCATTGTTCTTCATCGATTTAGATCTTAATTATATGCTTTTGTCGAGACTTCTTATTACATACATTAATCTTACACTTTGATAGCTTTAAGTATTTTCGGTTCTAGTTACGAAGTAGTACTAAATAGACTCGTATTTTGGACCTTACTACTTGAATTCTATGTAGGATTCGTTAAGCTAATAAGCGACTTGTGAAACTAATAATTTGACTGATATTTATTTATCTTATCTTACCACTAATAAATGTGATTTTTAAAGTATTCATTCGGATGACAAATCAACTGTTCATTAAAAAAACTTCACAGGTGAGTCTAGGTTAAACCATATTATCAACACCAAGCTAAAGATACTTTCTCATTTTACTATGCACACATGACCATGCATTTGTTACCTAGTTGCCATCCCGATCTACATTTTTTATTTTACAACTATGGTCTACACCTTATACACGTAAGTGCCCAAAATTCACACATCATTTTTATTGTACGAACATTGATACTTTTCTTCATCAATTAATAGTAACTTCTAATTCATAAACTTATAAATTACTGATTTAACATCAACGGGATAATTTAAATGGTTATGCCAACAACTATCGTGTTAATTTTGTGGGTTAGTGCCATATTTTCTGATTCTTCCATTCTTATTATTCACAATAAGATTTATTCTACATCAATAACTGTTTTTGACAATATTACGAGTCAAAACTTCTTATATTTTACCTACACTTTAAACAATAATAACAACAAAATCAGTGATTATGATCTATAATATGATATTGAATGAAATGTTACAGCTAAATTTTGGTTTATTTGTCAAACAGGAACCCTTATACATACATATGGCTGTCCTACGTACTGCTGATTGTCGTGATAATTACTGGCAATGTCCTAACTATCATATCTCAGTGGCTGAACCGAAAAATATTTAGGGTAACCTCCAACTACTTGATACACAACTTAGCCATAGCGGATCTGTTTTGCGGCTTAGCTTTACTCTATAACACAATATCACGCACCGATGAAGTATCCAAAAATAAAATTGTGTGCTTGTTAAGGTGAGTAAGGTTATCATTAAAATAAGATACTTATGATTGATTGTAATGAAAATCATCAATTAATATTTGTCGTATACAAAAATTCGTTTGAATACTAAGAAAACTACCTTCATGTACAAAAAATTGGAAACATCACATTTCGCCATCACAAAACAAAGAGATTTAAAATGTTCTGTACCACGAGGTTTTACTATTTTGCATTCGAACAGGTTTGCCTTTCAATCAGGCAGCTGTATCGCAAGCTTTTACAGTGTCGTGACAATAGCAATCGATCGTTACGTTTCAATACTCTATCCGCTCGAGTATCCAGAGTACATCACCGAACGTAAAATATTTACCATGATATCTTTAATTTGGGGCATGAGCATACTCCTATCGACTGTACCACTTTACTGGAACACTTATGCTGACAGCTGCCACTTTTATACTGTTATTCCCAGGTGAGATGCAAAGTATTTTTACTTTTTTTTTGTTGCATACAAATATTTAAAACGTTAAATTTTTTAGGTGCTACATAGAGGGAGTTTGGCTACCCAATTTCCTTGTAGTTTGGCTCAGCGTTTTAATATTTTATTGGCGAATCTGGAAAACAGCAAGGGCATTTGCTCAAAGGTCCAAGGAAAGGTCGAGAGTAATCGGTGAGACCAGTTACGCAAGCTATAAAAGGAACAATTTAGTATGTATACACATATTTTTATGTACGAAAGCATAATCTTGACCTAAACTGTAAGACTGCATATAAGGAAGATATACATTTTTTTATTGTCATAATTTTTCGTTTTTCAAGGTAGTTCTCACCATCACAGGATGTTTCTCGATCTGCTGGCTGCCCTACGTTATTGTTTCTCTGGTAAAATTATTTGATCGTAGTCAAGACAGTGAAGGTTACATGTATTCCGTGGTGTTCTTGATAGCAATGAGCCACAGTGGTATAAACCCGCTCATATATGCCTGGAAAAACCATTTTTTTCGCAAAGCCCTCCATTGCTGTTTTAAACTTGAAGCAAAAAATCTTAACAATAACAATAAAAATATATGCAATGGTAATTTAAAAATAAAAAGCGAGTTAATCACGAATAGAGGCCACAATCTCGAGACTGTCGAAGCTTTAAAAACAATATCTGCTGAACTTGATGAAAAAGAGATTGACGGGAGCAAATGCCTATGTACTTTGTGTCCCTAAAATTTTAAACAATATACGCAAGTCACGCGCCATACTTTTAATTGTGATTTTTGTACTTCTGATGTGTGAAAGCCTAGTATGCTCATATTTTTTTGTTTTTTATTATTATTATTATTATTTTTACTCTTTTTATTATTTTAAAACTGTACTTTTTAAGTAAATAAGTTGACGAGTAAAACAATAGTAAAAAATTATAGTTGTAGTAATAGTAAAAAAATTTTAGCTGTACACTGTGCATATTGGCAAGTTGTCTAGAAGGTCTTAGGCACGACTACTTCACAGAAGTGCCTGATATTTTTGTAAATGAATTAAGTAAATAAATTATAAGTGGCTTAAACTTATATAGTATACTATCATTTACAGTAAGCTCGGCTGGCTTTGTAGATTTTACCTTTTGTAAACTAAATTTGAAAACCCTTTCAATGATTCAGGCCTCAACATTTTTGTTTTTTACCATCATAGTGGCTTGGAAAAAATAAATATAAATTTTATACCTTATTAAGGTTGTGAATTACAGTTTTTTAACAACAGAATTTTTTATTTTTTGGGTGAAAAAAATTTTATTTAATTCTCAAAACCATTGTATTTTATAGAGTATAAATGGCATTTTATAATCTAATAATGCTTATTTTTGTATAAATATAAGAGATAAGAATTATAAATGTAGTTTAGTATCTTTTCAAGAATCTTTGAAAGATTTTTTTATCATCTCAAACAGTTAGTTGTAAATTAGAGGTGAAACATACAAACCTCATTTCCAAAATAATTGAAACTTAGGTAAACAGTAGAACATGAAAATAGCTTTTTTGTTTATTTTAAAATACCCTAGTAATTGTTTTTTTGTTTTTTTTTTTGTTTTTTTTTTTGTTTTTGTTTTTTTTTGTTTTTTTTTGTTTTTTTTTTTTATGAAGTGCTTCGTATTTTCAAAGTATATGTTGGAAACGTGCTAATTATTAGAATTTATAAAATTTTGAGTCTGAAAATGTAAATGTAGTTTTTTCTCACTTCATTAAAAATTTCAAAACGATTTTGAAAGTTTTACAAACCTATTCTCTGCTTCGTTTCTTCTGCTGTGTACTGATAAAAACTTTAACATTTAGTAATAATCAGTAGTTTGACGTCAATTATCCAATTCAAATTTAAAATTTAATTAATAAAATGGGTATCTGTGTAGCTCTATAAAACTGCCCAAAAGAGCATACTTTTTACTAAAAACTGTAGCATCAGTGCCTATTAAACCTTCACATATCCTAACTGATAACTTTTATTGGAACAAAAATATTGTAATTACAAATTAAGTAAAGTACAAAAAATAAGTAAATGTTGAATCAAGTTGTGTGTTGAATTAATCAGACAAGTAAATATTTGTTTACAATAAAAAACGAAAGAATATAACTTAGGAAAGTTTTGTGTTAAATTAATTGGAACCGGTTCTTCCAAGACGAAGAAAGGAAAGCTAAATTCGCTCGTACATCGCCATACAAGTTTTTCGCACTGCAGTATGGGACATTTGCGATGGTGGACAAACAGTTGCCAATTGTTATTACTGGAGCACGCGTGTCACAACACCGATGGCGCAACGTCTCGAGCTCCAAAGACAGTTTTGTCATACACAAAATTATCGCAATGATCGTGCTTGTCCATTCATTAGAAAGCTTTTTCTACGTCAAAGGAAACAAAAAGCAGCTAGCCCCGAGCGAGCCATCGAGAATCACTTTCCTCGTTAAGTACAAAGAGCCTATACGAACAAATGCCAGGACACTGGACTACGCACATTGCGTATGCAGTACATAGAGGTACAGTAGGAGAACGTAGTTATATGAGACGTGTATACATATACAACAGAGGCGATCGTCTTTTACCTCATCGTCGTTGCCGTCTGCGGCCCCCGCAACGACACACCAAAGTGTAGGTATACGACGCCGGTGGCGGCGTAACGGTACGCAAGGCTTTAACCAAGTTTCGCCGATAATGGCAATTAACGGAAAACACGACTGAGGTAATTATATTGCCGAGGTCCCCGCGCGCCTATGCGCACGTCTACGTCCATACACTCCCTTACGTATGTATACGTATACGTACAATGTATACGTGTACAGGACAGAGCGATACAACCAAGCGAGCGCGTAAGTACGCGGATGCTACGCTATTAGACGCAGCCGGCGCTTTCGTTAAATTACGGCGGGATGCAAGCGAGCGAGCGAGCGTATAATGCGCCTCCTCTTTCCTCGTCCTTCTCCGCCTGGCCCTTGTTTTCGCGAGATGCACTGCCGGGGAGCTCCTTTTCTTACGTGAACCGCGGTTTTTGTGTTTGCCTTGAGCTCAGTGTTGAAAAAAAAAAAAAAAAAAAAAAAATGTGGGCACTGTACTGGTATGCTCAAGATCTACCTGTCGTGGGCCTTGGCTCATTGATGCTCCTTTCGAGTCCACATATACCTACACTCAAGTGTGACTACACTATACATCGGTGACTGAAAATTTAATTTACACCAATCGATCACGAAGGGAAGTTGTGCTATTTTGTCGTTTGGTTGACACTCACTTTGAAAGTGACACCAACCTTGAAAGCCACACATGATAATGTAATCATCTATAGTAATACGTAAGGCCGGAATGCTCCAAAGTACGTGTACAGTTACGTGAATGCCTATACGTGCAATTGTGCATCTATATTTATCGATATGCGAGGGAGAGAGTGGACACTTATCTTCCGCTCGAAAATTATCCCTGCGTGTGTACATAATTATGTAGATCTCGAGTGTACTCGAGTATATACGCGTGACTGCGTTGTGCACATTTACGTATCGTTGAACTTCCTGTCGGTGGCGATTTAGATAGATTTTTCAAACGAATGAAAGAAAATACGTGTAAAAGCAAAAAGCAGACAAACAACGATATCCAACTTTAACGAACGGCGCTCGGGCTCGTTATCGCGGCGCTTATTATTGAGATCCAGCGCAAAAATAAAAGCATCGTGCCCATTTCACTGGAAGGAGATACATACATACCCACGTTCCAGCCGCGAGGGGAGATTTCCATTTGTTTCCTTCGCCCTGATGGAACAAACTTCCTTCCCGGCTTTTTATCAACGGCATTAAACTTACTTTGCCCACGGGGGGGGGGGGGGAGGGAAAAAAGCGCGCGTCTATCTGCATAACAATAGGCGCGTCAAGTGCAACTGGAAGCGAAGAGAGCGGATATAGAAGAGGGGAAAAAAAAAAACGCGAGCGTAGACGAATGAAAAATGAACAATAGCACCGAGAAGCCGGCAAAAGAAGAGGCATGACCGAGAAAGACGGGAACAAAGAGAGAAGAAAAGCAAGCGGCACAAGGGGGTTGGGGGGGGTGGAAGCATTTCGCTCGGCGAGGCTTCCATCTTGCCGATATTATTGACGTTTTTTGCTACCCCTATTTTTCCCTCGGCTCTCGCCAGCAGCCGCCCACCCTTCGACTGCACCCCCTCGCCGTCTCTTTCTCTCGGCCGTATTCCAGCGAGGCTAAAAAGAACTCTCCTTGCTTTCGAGGGGGGAGGGAAAGAAAAAGGGGCTGAGAGGGGAGCAAAGCAGCATTAGCGGCATCAGCGAGAGAAGAAGAAGAAGCAGAAGGAGAAAAGTCCGCGCGGGGGTAGGGTAAGACGGCTCTCATTCGCGCGGGCTTTTTAGAATACTTTATTGACTGAGCCCCCTTGCTCTGCCCGTCTGCTGCCTGCTCTCGGGGCAAAAGAGTGCGGGGTGTGTAGCTCTCTGTCCCAGCCAGAGAGAGAGATGGCAATACAGAGAACAGAGAAAACAGGGGGGTGGGGGGGAGGATGGGAAGAAATGGAGAGAAAAACATCGGAAAAGCGGCAGCGTCTCTCTCTTTCCTCGTCCTCGTCTTGGTATTCCTTTTCCAGGGTATACAGTCCCTCTTTTGCTCTCGTTTTTGAATTTAAATACCAGGCCAGCCACCCGGTCGAGCGGAGGTGGAGGCGCGCGGAGCTACCCCACCCCCCCCCCTGCTTTCGTGGCTCTGACACTGTCTTTGCGAGAAATTAATGAAGCGAAGTGCTACTACTACCATCACCACCGCCACCACCACTACTTGAGTTGTCCGTCTCGTTTTCTTGCGCTGCACAGATTTCCCGAGGTCCGTTCGAGCGCGAGGTGTTTCTCCTGCTCCCTGTCCCACCTTGATCTTTCTTTATCTCCAGCTCGGGACGGTCTGTAAGTGTACGGATGCACAGCGACACCTCCCCTCCCCCCGATCCTGCCCCCGTAATTCCGTCCATTTCTCATTCTTTCGAGCAGCCATTGTCGCCAACAGCAGCGGATGCGCGCCCAGTCCGTCTCTTCTCCTCGATCGAGTTTAATGGGCTTCGTTTCGATGCGTATAATCGACGGGGCGCCGTCACCTGTATGTACAGCTTTGAGCGTGTTTTTCCTGGGTGAAAATAACGAGGGCGCACCGAGCTCTTTTCGCCCAAATGATTAAAACAAGGACCATTCGTTTGATACTCTATACGCGAAATCGATGCAAATTGCACAGTGTACGAGTTTAAAGGAGGAGAGGAGGAGTAAGTAAGTAAGTAAGTAAGTATTTATTTGGTACTAAGGACTTAGAGGTCCTGTATAGTGCTTGACATGATGAATTACAGCAGATACATTGTTGTACAAGCGTTGAAAGTGTAAAAACAGCTATCGCA